CTCTCTCTCTCTCTCTCTCTCTGTCCCCAAGGGGTTGAATTGAGCTAACAAAAAGTTTCTCAATAGAACAAGTCAGTGCAACCTGAGAGCATCAAGGTGTGAACTATCAAACTCCTGCCAGCTTCCTGTTGTTCTGAGAAGAAAACCTGCAGCTCGGCGAGGACGCTGCATTCAGGCCCTTTCACCTGCGTGAATTTTTTAGAATGTATTAACGGCCCCGCGTTGCAGAGTGTGCGTGACTGTGTGTGTGTGTGTGCGTATCTTTTTGTCAGTAATGAATGTGGGTCGGTCTGGGAACAATGTGGTCCCCTGGTCACCATAGGGACCACTGCCCCCGCCTCGTTCCTCAGTCAGGAGTTGTGATTGGTTGCGGGTTAGTCACTGTATTGAAATGAGGGGAGGCTATTTCTTTACCCCCCCCCCCCCCAGCTTTTGTGCTGTGAGCGTCTCACCTTCTCGAGCCTTTGCAAGACAAATGGGCGTCGCAGAGAGGGCGAGCGTAGGCCGCCTGCAGCAGGAACTTCAATGAGGAGTTTTAATTTAAGTTGGTCAAAGTGTTTAAACTCGGACAAACTGATGCAGGTGGTTTGTATGTTCTGGTTTCTGTAGCAGGCTGCTGATTTAGTGTCACTTACAGGCAAAGACAGCTATGACAAGCAGCGCAATCATGGTTGGACGCCACTAACTCACCATGGGGTTTGTTTCCATAGAGACCTCTCCCCCATCGCCATTTCCACGGTTGAAAAATGACTCTGTCACAAAGACAAGAAGAAAAGACAACAATGCACATCAGTTACAATCATTTTCTTAAAAACCAAAAATCACGGCGGTCTTAAATAGCAGAGGCTGTGACACTGACAGATTGTCTTCTCTCTAACTTGCTCAGTCGAAACACAAAAGACTTTTTATATAAATGATCTATTTGTGTTGAAGTTGGAGCCCCCCCCCCCCCCCCCCCCCGAACTCATGGGTGGTTTATCTGTGCACTGCTCATGGGCCTGTGGCAGGGCCTCTTATGGGCCGGCTCCTTGGTGGCGTTTTGTCAGAGGCCTCAGTGAAGAGTGCTCCATAATCACTTACAGGGGTGGGATGGTGAGCAGCGTAGCCCCCACCCCACTCCTTYACTCCTTCCCTCTCTGAACCAGGTTGTAGAGAGAGAAGTTCTCCTCTGGCAACAGAAAGAATGTGCCATGCTGTGACCGACTGAAGCRCTCCGGCGCTGGAATTAACACAGCTTTGCACAGCAGCGAGGCTAAAGAGCAAACACAGCTTTGCTGCGGAGGAATTTCTTGTGTTGAAGGACAGATGCGGTCCAGTTCGGACCAGTATAGATGGAACAGCGGGGTTTTTTTTACTGTGATTTACGTAACGGCTGCTCATCCCCTTGGCCCTCTGGAMGGCCTTCCAGCTTCCCCGGCCTGTTGGCGACGTTACAGACGACACGGCTGCACCTTTTGTAGGAAAAAGTTGTCTAGAAAAAGAGTTTGACCACACGGAGACGCAGCTCTTCACAGAGCAACATCAGGCGTTTGTAGTGACCCCCGCCCCAACTGTTTCCGTTCTGAGCTGAGCGAGAAAAAAAAAAAGTGGAGCTAGTGGGGGTGGCATACGATGACCCCATCTGTGATTACTATGGCTCTCCTTACTAATAGGATTGGAGCCATCAGGCTCGAGTTGTTCCTCGGAGATGCCGAGCGCCGCTGCCCAATCGGCAGGTCGCGTTAAAGCGTGCTCCCGGCTCACGCTGTGACAGGCGGCGCGCTCGGCCAACTGTTGCGTAGCTGGGACGGGGCTGGCGGAGGGGAATTGCCCTGATTTCATAAACCTCTCATGGAATTACCCTCAGCTTCTTCTCTGTTACCTTGCTGCGGGTCAGACCTCTTTAAGCAGACCCACTCAGGCCTTCAAGTCATTTCACACACCGTAATTTAGAACACTGTGCTTTGAGTGTCTTTTTTTTTTTCCCTCTGTGAAATTTTGCCTCTTTAGCAAAAACTGTAGAAACCGATCAGTCTGGATGTTTTTCCTGTATTACACCTCACATMAACATATAGGCCTGTCACAATAACAAATTTTACTGGACTATAAATTGTCTCAGAAATTATTGCGATAAATGATAATATTGCTGGAGACCAGTTTAACCTCTTGAGCCCCATGCCCCTGGTACTGGGGGGCAACACACTTTCTTTCATTTTCTATTTAATTTAACTTGTTTTAACTTCAGATCTGCCAGTTGAACCTGGACTTGTTTGGTATAAAAGAAACCTAAGAATTTTGGCTAAAAGCTCATGGAAACATATTTTTACATCCACTAAACACAGTTCAGACGGCAAGCAGTTGAATCAGAAGGTAAACAAACTGTACAAAAGGTCATCATTACAAATCTGTAAATACATACAAGCAAACCTGTGAAGGAAAAATTTTTGACATTTTTTTTAAAGCAAGTCAAAGTAGATACCTAAATATGTTTTAAAGTGTGTTGAAACTTTTTTTCACTTGGTTTTGAGCAAATATGGTCTAACTGAAGTCAAATATAATTTCTCATTATTTTATATAATATATATGGTGACAAATAAATATTTGGATAATTTTTCAAAAGAACAAACATCCAAGTCTTTTCAGGCAGGTAAGAAAAAATAAATAACTTTTACAATTAAAAACTTCAGATTTCTCAACATTTATTAATGGTGCCATCATGGTCTGTCCTGTGCAGAATGACAAAATTCTAAATTAATTCTTTACTAAAACCTCTGTAACTTTGCTCCAGTTAATTTTAGCAGCATGAATCTTTCTTTGCACAGGTAATGTCCACAAGGGAATTTATGGTTTCCAAGAGTTTTTAGCCTAAATCATTATGGGTTTAAATGGGTTATATACTGTCTAATGAAAAAAATATTCAGGTGAGAGTGAAAAAAATAATTAAAATTATGTTCCATGATCCCCAGTGTCTCTAAAACCACAGCAGCTGTTTTAGTACTTACACTGATGTAATCTCCCAAGTGTTAGCTCTATTTTGATACCAAGATTATTTAAGTAGAGTTTGTAAATGCTGAAATACACTCAGTTACATTTCAGCATGGTATTTTGAGCAAAAACWTCAAGAAAACCCCTTGGGGCAYAAGAGGTTAAACTAATATAAAGGTATAACAGCCCCTGTTTATGGAAGTTTACATTAAAATGTACATAGTGTAAATAGAAAAAAAACAACTATCGGCAATCCCAAGGTGTCTCCAGCTGTGTGAAGGTGTCAGAAAACTGAAGASGCTCCTCTGGCTAAATGCCTGTTCACAGGCTCTCATGCTACACAGGTTAGAGACCATGCACCTGGAAAATACCTGAGTTCACTCCTCTCTGTGCTAAAATGTAAAACAGAGGGAAACATGAGGAAAACAAAAAAGCAGGCGAATGAAAAATATTGTCTTCATTTTAATTTATCTTCCTCAATTTAATCTATCATACGATTAATTGATTTGTTGTTTATTGTGTCAGGCCTAATGTCAAGTTCATGTTTGTGTGTAAGCTCAGGTATTTGGTAAGTACTTATTGAGATGAACATCAGAGCTGAACTTGTGAAAGCAGCATATCTACGTGAAGCTTCAACCATCAAACTCTTGATTTTACCCTGATCAACAGCAGGAAACAAACAGATTTCATTCATGCGTTCATTTGATCTGTTTAATGTCCACATTTTCCTGCCCTCGGATGTGCTGTGTGCTGCCACGTGTTTGATTTTGTCTGTTTGTGTGTGTGTGTGTGTGTGTGTGTGTGTGTGTGTCTGTTTGTTTTCGAATGTGCACAGGAGTGTTGGACATCAGGAGGGTTGGTGACCGGAGGTGACTATCAGAGTAGTCTAGCCGTCATAGAGACTAAACAGTAGACTCTGCATCTGATCCTAAAGTCTTAGCATATAGTTTTTTTTCACTCTGCTGTCTAGAACAGAAGTAAAAAAAAAAAAAGAATTAAAAATAAAAGTTGCAGTGATGTCAACTCTTTACCCTGACTGGTAAACGCATGTGGTTTACCAGAGAGGCTCTAGCTCTCTACTGTAGTTGAACTCTACCCTCTCATGGTTACAGACTAATCAAAGCGCTGTACTGCCTCACCATCTGTTAGTGTAACAGCAGTACAGTGTGGCGTAGTCTAGTTGTTCTCTAGCTCTTTTAGACCAGCATAGACTAATATAGAGGTCTCAAATTTCAGTTTTACAGACTGTCTGTGAATGCATCTTCATGGCATGGTGTGGTTCTCTCCCTATTTAGTTTTTAACCATATACTGTATTCAGTGGGCTCCTCTACATCATATTATAGTTTAATGTGTTTTTTTTTTAGCTGTATCGTTGAAATAAAGGCAGAGGAAGATCCGGATCACCGGGAAGTGCACGAGCACACGTTGCTGTTGTCATCGTTTGCGTCACAAAGCTGACAGAGCAAACGAGCAAAAAGCAGTGTCGCTCCAGTGTCAGCGTGGCGTGATTGACAGCTCCCTTCTCCTCGCTCCTCTCTCTCTCTCTCTCTCTCTCTCTCTCTCTCTCTCTCTCTCTCTCTCTCTCTCTCTCTCT